CGTTAAACAGCATGGGATAATTCTTCATCTCACAAAATATTTATTATAAAAAAAAAACGACTAAACTAATTGAGTTTCTTTATCCAGGTTTTCAGATAAGACTCTTAGCCACCCTGACACCATCTGTCGTAAGAATCAATGAAAAACTCTTTGAGTTATTTAGATAGAAAGAAAAACAGTTTAAAATCGTTTTTGGTCAGCGCCACTGTGTTCTCAACTTCAGAAATGGTTCCAGTATACATACTCTAGTCTCCATTTTCAAGGACCATTCAAGAACCAACAAGAGAACGATGAATAAGTTCTAAAAAACTACATGGATGATCTCAAACTCTTTGCCAAAGACGACAATGAGATGAAGGGTACACTCAACAATGGAAAATGTTTCACTGACGACACAGGTATGGATTTCGGATTAGATAAATGTGCAAAAGTAACATTCAAGAAAGGGAGAATTACAGAAACATGCTTAATAGCTTTAGATTTTGTAACAAAGATTAGGGAACTGGAACAAGAAGAAGCCTAGGTACCTAGGAATTAAAGAAGAAGATCTAATACCGCATACCCAAATGAAGGAGAAGGTAAGAAAGGAGTACTACCGGCGTGTGCATCTGGTACTGAATGACGAGCCGAATTAAAAAAAAGAACAATATCAGTCATAAACACCCTGGCTTTCCCTGTAGTGTAATATAGTTTCAACATCATTAACTAAACCATAGTTGACATTAAGCGAATGGATGCCAAAACGAGAAAGTTTCTCACACGCCATCGCATGCATCCTCCCAAGGCTGATGTTGATCGCCTATATGTGCCCAGATTCAAAGGAGACAGAAATTTATTCAGTAATAAAGGAAGCAAACACGTCCAGAATGGAGTTTCAAATGGGTGAAAAAATACAAGTAAAGCATAATACACCGACTGCAGTTGCAAAATACTTTAAAAAAAAAGAAAGCAAAGGCAAAAACAAGCGACCAGATACAAAAATGATGGCAAGATAAACCGCTCCACGGTCAGTAATATGCAAGTACAAGTAAATCACGGTCAGTAATATGCAAGTAAATCCCGTACCCATTATTGGCTACGTAGTACAGGGTTAAAAGCTGAAACCGAAGGTTTTATTCTTACTATACAAGACCAATGCTAACTAGAAACTAGAAATTACCAAGCACACATGCTGAAAAATTGTGTTAACCCAAAATGAAGATTTTGGGATAAGTATCAAGAAACAGTTGACCTCCTTGAATCATGCTGCGCGGTATTGGCACCCATTGAATATAAAATTTGGCATGGCAGAGTAGGCCAATATCTGCACTGGAAAATCTGCAACTTTTACACAAATGAAACTGCAAGAAATTGGTATGAACACCGGTTACGGAGATAGAATTTGTAACAATTTTATGGAACTTTACAATACAAACAGACAGCACAATCAAAGCTAATCGCCCAGAAATATTGATTAGAGACCGAAAAAATAAAATGTGACTTCTTATTAACATGACAGTCCCTGAAGACTGCAAGTTATCTTTTAAGATCTCCAGAAAAAAAAACTCTCAAATATAGGGACCTTAAAGTCGAAATCTCAAAAATGTGGCACATCAGGACATCAACATTTCTAGTCGTACTTGGAGCCTTCGGATTGATTGGAAAAGATTCAAATAGACTCATTTAATGGATGCCTGGTGGCCTATGCCTTAAAGAAATAAAAAAAACTTCGGAATGGGATCACACATATATCGACAGGATGAGGGCTTAGCAATGAGCTCACCATTATCACCAATAATGGCGGATATATACATGGAATACTTTAAAGAAATTGCATTAGAATCTATATCTCTAAAGCCAACTCTATGATTAAGGTACGTAGATGATATCTTCATACTCTGGCTACACCAGGAAGATGTTCAGGTTCTACTGGACCATGTGAATTCAATAAGACCTTCGATACAGTTCACAATGGAGAAAGAGAGTAACAACACACTCCCATTCCTGGATGTTCTAATATCTCGAACAGAGCATGGGTTCAAGACATCCGTATACCGTAAACCGACAAACACCGGACAGTACCTCAATTTCAACTCCCACCATCCATACAGCCTAAAGAAAAGAATTGTCGGCTGCTTACAACACCGAGCAAAAGTCATAAGTGGTGACCCAGAGACATTAGATAAAGAATTTGTCAGTATAAGTAGTACCCTACAACGTAACAACTACCCTGGGTACATCGCAACAGCCCCAAAATAATGGGATAGGCGGGTACAAGAGGAGGAGGACAACAACACTTAGAAAACAGTCTGCCTGCCTTATGTGAAGGGTTTATAAGAGAAAATACAAAAGATCTGCGGTCCATATAACATCAGGACAACCTTCAAAAGCTTGATGACACTTCGCAGATATCTCTCCCGAGTAAAACCCTCCATAGAGGAGAACATGACTAAAGACTGTGTGTATGCTATCCCGTGCAGCTATGGAAAGAAATATAAAGGGGAGACAGGCCGCCCCCTCAAGGTAAGGCTTCAAGGACACCAGAAAGCTGTAACACGAGGGGAACTGACCACATATGGAGAGAGAAGGACGATAACAACCCTGTGTGGGATCAGGATGAGATCATAGACAAAGAACACCATTGAAAAATTCGTAAACTTAAGGTATCAGCACATATGATAGACCTAAAAAATCTTCTGAGCCGACCAAGCATAGAAATGAATACAATATGGGAAGCAGTAATAAGGAGTGCCAGAGAAAAACAATAATAACAACAAAAATTGCAATATGAGCTCTGGTAAAAGCATAAAATGATAACAGCAAAAATTGCAATATGAGCACTGATAAAAAATGATTGTGTTGCTTAAATCTCATTACGTTTATAATGCTCAGAAATTCATACACGGATGTCCTCAAGGACACATGCACAGTGAATAAAGGTGTTAGTTAGATCCAGTGACAGGAAGAGTTCAATACCCGGTCAAGGCAGTGGAGAACTTTCAGAGTGGAATTAACAGGAGATAACTGATAACTGACATCCATTAAACATGGAACGTAGAAATTGAACAGTCTACCCCAATGAGCGAAATAAAGGTTTCAGTTCGACATTCCAACTACCTGAAGAAGGCCGGAGCGTACAACGAAATGTTGTAATAAATATGGCGACAAAGATGATGACAATAGTCTGAATAATGTAAATAACGTGAAATATTTTTATTAATAATAACAATCAACATGTAATTTTTCATTGACCTGAACTTAAAACTTTTATTTTATGATAAAATGAATAATGGGTAAATGTATATACGGCAGCTGGTATAAACACAGTTATTGAATAATTTTTCATTTCTTTCTTGTTTTATCCATTTGCTAGTTTATCTGTGTTTTATTTTCTTTTATTTTCTCCATGAAAGTATTACGGACATCGTCAAAAGTTGAATGTCACTGGGCATGAAGACGAAGTAGAAAAATATAATCGCAACTCTCTCCGAATAGCACGTAAGGTTGCCGATGCTACTGGAACACTAATGGCGGGAGATTTAAGCAACACCACCATTTTTGAACCAAATAACGCAGAAGCCATTGAAAAGGTGAAGGCCATGTTCAAGGTGAGACATTTCACTCCTACCCACCAATGTAATCGAACGAATTATTTTGGATATTTTTCAAGTACAAATCAAATTTTATTACTTAAACATTTGCTTAAAGAGAAAAACTTGGAATGTTGTCTTCTTTTTGAACGTCTTTCTCTCAGAATAATTTCCACATTTTTTAGTAATCAAACTTTCTCATATGCCCAATTATACGGCGTATATGCCGCTTTTTGAAAAAAAAAATAAATGAATAAAATCACCCTGGATCTTATACGTCAAATTGAGACCCTCATTCTATCCCCAATATGCATTTTTCTTTTTCTGCGTACCATGGCCGTTCAGAACATTAGTGATCACGGCTCCCCACGACTTACAATCCTTTGTATCTATTAAGAATATTTCTTCTTTTTTTTTTTTTTCCATTCCTGTCATCCATAACCGGAAGTGCCTTAAGTTGGTTACTCGCTGTTTCTTCGTCCCTCCCGCTTTCGATATACACTGCAAGTTTCTAATTTTCCAAACAAGCCAAAAATTTTATCTATCTCTTTTTGATTCTTAATATAAGAGTCCTCTTAGACTTCTGTAAAGATTTTCGCGTTCTTTCCATGTTCCTTCCATGGTATTCTCAGTATCCTTCCTGGAGATACACATCCCTTACGCTAAGTCTTCTCCGTGTGGTCATTCTCCATCATTCACTGCCATATAGGAGGATTGATATTACATAAAAAAGCAACACTTTCTTTTGTTTCCAAAGACATTTTCTTTTTTTTTTAACGCTTGATTAGACTTTGAAATACATCTTTTACTACTTCCCTGCCGCTTCGGATTTCGGTGTCATATTTTCAATCTTATATCAAAACTTCAATCTTAAGCTAACATATTGAGCTTTTTTTTCTCTTGGAGAAAACCATATATACTGCCGGTGTCATGTGTTTCATCATTCCCAGATATTTAAACACCTGTATTGTTTTCATGTTAAAATCTCCAATTTGTAATTCACACATTCATGAAAACCATATATTCTGTCTTCTTACAATTGAAGGATTAGTCTTGTCTTCTCGCTTTCCTTTACTGCCTTTGCCTCGGATGACCTTTAGTTTTCCTTTTCGCTTTGTCTTCTTCTATTGTTAAGATTGTGCCCACTGATACCAAATCCTTGTAAGACTTCTACTCGCTTAGAATTGCCTCGTTATGTAGATTGAATAAATCCTGGCAGAAGACAAATCCTCGAATGTATGCTATAATATCTGAGAATTCATCTTATAATTTGTAGAGAAATTTAATGAGTTTATCACTCGTTCTTAATGCTTACCTTTTCACAATTATCAATATTTCAAATAAATCATAATTGCAATTCTTGGCAGGGCGGGGTGATCTTGTTCTCTCTTGAAATCTCACACAGCACGCAATAAACTGTATTATTCTCGTTCGGTATATTCTATAGAAATTTTGACTGCTTGACAAAGTGACATTAGCAGTGTTAACATCCGACATGTTTAAAATTGTTGTTTTAATTTTCTTTTCAATTGTCACAGTCTGATACATTACGCAAGGTAAAGTTTAATAATTTCTGAACTTTATTTTATCAAAATTCCTTCATAGAAATACTGTCCCTTATATTATAAAGGAGCAAGTAATATGGGCGAGAGAGGAAGGTGCCGATTATATTGTCGCAGAAACAATACCTACATATGAGGAATGCGCTTTGGCATTAGAAGCTGTGAAGGAATATGGTCAAGGTGAGATAACAAACTTTATACTTTTTGTAAAATTGAACAAACACAGACATGCTTAAACAGGTAAATAACAATATTACAATTTTATTGGATTTTTCAATACACAGAGACAGAACAGTTAAAGCTAATCGCCCAGACATTGTGATCAGGGACCACAAAAAAAAGAATGTGCTTTCTTATTGACAGTTCTTTCAGATTGTGATGTCTCTTTGAAGATCTTCCAAAAACTATCGAAATATAAAGATCTTGAAGTGGAAATCTAAAATATGTGGCACATGAGGACATCAATAATTCCAGTTGTAGTTGGAGCCCTCAGATTGAGTGTGAAAAGTTCCGATAGACTGAATGAAGGAATTCATGGCATCTCATGCCTTAAACAAATACAATAAATTGTACTCACAAGTACAGCTCACGCCTTACAAGGAGTTTTATCTATGTAAAATGTCTGTAATCTTAAGATTTTGGCGTTTATTTTTTCGTTTTTATTTATTTATTTATTTTTAACAAAAATTATCTGTGGAATATGTCATGAAGCCATTTCTAATCTTGAGTCCCGGAAGGCTATTTCTGACCTTGAGAGCCGGAAAGGAAATGAGTATACAACTGAAATCAAAGGAAATAATAATAATAATAATAATAATAATAATAATAATAATCGCCCAGATATTGTTATTAAAGACCATAAACAAAAACGGTGCCTCCTTATTGATATGGCAGTCCCTGCCGACTGCAATGTATCTTTGAAGATATTCAAAAAGTTGTCAAAGTACAAGGACCTTTGAAATAGAAATCGCGAAAATGTGGCATATGGGAACATCAACAATCCCTGTTGTAGTTGGAGCCCTAGGACTGGTTGGAAAAAGATTCCAGTAGACTAATTGAAGGGATACCTGGAAGTCCATGCCTCAAGGAGATACAGAAAATTGTTCTAACAAGTACAGCCCACACCTTACGAAGGGCTTTATCTATGTAATCTTTTTCTTTTTTTTTTTTTTTTTTTTTTTTGTCAGTGGAAAGTGTCATGACGCCATTTCTAACCTTAGGTCCCTGGGCGGGACTCGGAAAGAAATGTGTAAACGCCAGAAATCAAAGAAAATAAAAATAACAATAATAATAATAATAATAATGTCAGTTTGGAAATGCCTGCCTCATGAGATGTTAGTATTGTAAAAAATTCAAAATTGAAAATCAATTATATGTGACAATAAGTTTTTAAATTTTGAATGTGCAGGTCAATAGCTAATATCGGAATTAGTACACTTCGTCGTGATTAATGGCTTGCAAGCAGCGAACCAAGTAGGTCTCTATTGCAACATGAGTAAGACAGAATATACCACAACCTCCTCTGAACCATCCGAGTTGGAGTCAAATAATAAAATATCCATCAAAAGATTTGAGGACTTCAAATATCTTGGATCTCACATAATATATTCCCAAAAAGCCTTCAACATCCGTAAAGCTTTTGCATGGGATGCGGGTTACAAACTTTTAAAGATGGGATGTTCGAGCGCCAAATCTTGATTGGCGCTCGAACATTCCATCTTCTTTAAAAGTTCAAACCTTTTTTAACATTGATTGAACCAATCTTACTGTATGGATCACAAATTTTGACATTATCTGTTCGTCTTAAAAGACGACTGGATGGAACATATACAAATCAACTTAGAAAAATCCAGAACATCAGTTGGAGATTCCATGTAATATTCAACACAATGTATGGAGAACTGAGACGAATTTCTCTTAAGCTCAAACAAAAAACGATTACGATTCGCCGTTCACTGCCACCGAGCAAACAGGAAAATCGTTTCATCCTTACTCCTATGGTATCCTTCTAGAAGTGTCTTCGCAAGAAAATTGACTTTCCTAGACACCATAGTTCGGGACTCAGAGTTGGCCATTGGGGATCTGGGGACAGCAATACAAGACCAAACAGCGTGGAAAGAGAATGTCAATGGAGTTCCGACCAACCATAAGGAGATCGCAGGATGATGATGATGATGATGATGATGATGATGATGATTAGCTTGCAAGCAAATCTGCTTTAATATCAGTACTGAGTTCAAAATTTAACGGTTTCTTCATACTGAACATGTACCACGCTAAAGTAAGCTTAGTAAATAAGATCAAGTTTGAGATGGAAAATAAATATGGATGGAGTGTGCATATCATGAACATCCCAATCAAAATCACCTGAAAGGAGGGAAAGAATAAATAAAGCAGTAAACACAAAATTATACCCACCACCGAAAAAAAAAAAATATTTTGCCAGTGTGGCAAAAAGTGCACAATGCCACACGGAACAATAGGGCTACAGTCTAGGAGTCTAATGCTTAGAGGCAAAAAAAAAAAACGCTACTCAACAACTGAATGGATGCTTTCCCCGAGTCCAGGTGATCATGCACCCACCAACCGAAATAATATGCACCCACTGTCTAATTTGATTTTCATCTCAGGCTAGCCTGGTGCAATCAAGATTTCCATGTTCTTACTACAACTGCCAATAGCATGAAACTAAGGAGTAATACTCGGACGCTGTGCGCCAGAAATTCAATTCGTAATTTAAGAGTCTTGCCATTTTATATGGCATGGAGCAATCTTTCTTTTCGGTGTGAATTCACGGCAAAATCATTTTAAGAGCTGTTTATTTCTATTAATATATATATATATATATATATATAAATATATATATATATATATATATATATAATTATTTTATTTTTGAAATTATGATTCCATCACGACACAGAAAATTCCCATTCTAAAACTAAATTTATAAATCTAATCATTAAACTTCAACTTAAAATTTATAAATCTAATCATTAAACTTCAACTTAAAATCCATAGCCTTGTTCCATTTTCAAGCGATGATAGAAATTCAATGATAAAGGAATTTTCATTTCTCCGCTTCATTCATACTTTTATACACAAAGACTTCCGAAAAGGGTTATTTAAATATGTGCAAGAGATATTAAATAAAACTTGAATTTTGTTAATTAAATTATATTCTTATAGATTTAAAGTACCATTCGACCTTTAATAACTAATAGATTTATGGTATTTTTATACGTAAATATATTAGAATGTAATTTCTTTGATTTAGTAAATTTTTATTTTTCAGAAACATAATAATGTATAATTTTTCATGTATGCACAAAGGACATGGGTCATTTAATGACCTACAAGCTTTAGCTTTTTTACTAATTTCATTTAACTGTTGGGTTTTTATTGGTTTCAGTTAAGTGCCAGAAATATTTAGACAAGGACGTTTGATTTCGGTATTTATTATTATTAAAGGACGTTTGATGTTGGCTCCACCTTCTTTTGAATTCATTTTGTGTGCATCCAATGCAGAATTTAACTATTTCTAGATCTTCAATAGATGGAATATTGCATTGATGAATTATTGATTCAATACGGCATTTATTATTAAGAGGATAGTTTTGAGGATTTCTATAGTTAAATAATTTTTCTTTATCTTCATTTCTTTTTATTTTAGGATCTATATTTTTTATAAGTGTTTATTTAATATATTAGCATTATTTTTGTAAAATTTAAGTATTAATAATATGTCTTGCACATATTTAAATGGCCCTTTTAGAAAGTAGTTGTGTATAAAAATATGAATTAAGCGGATGAATGAAAATGCCTAACTTTTTTATTATTATTGGAAACCCAGACGACTCACTGAATACCGGAAGTATTCCTACCTCTACCCCACTTAAACTTAATCTGACTTTGCAAGTAACATATATTGGATACATAAGCTGTCTAGGGAAATTAATACCCAGCCACCCCTAAATTGAAATAGATTTTCCGTTAACTTAACAACTCATAATATCAATATTGTCTGCGTTTATAAAGATTTTTTTGAAAGTTTATTCCTATCACCGTTTGACAAATGGAACGAGACTTTGGATTTTAAGTTGAATTTTAATATTTAAATTTATAAATTTAGTTTCAGTTTTGAAATACGGAAATTTTCTGTGCCGAGAGGGAATCGTATTTTTAAAAAGAAAATTATAAAATTTTGCTCTACTGTTTTGTATCGAGCACTGCTTTATTTTTAAATTAAGGTAACTGCTAAGAACACCGGATTATAAATATTACTGTACTTTCTTATTTTGATATACATACATACATACATACATACATACATACATATATATATATATATATATATATATATATATATATATATATATATATATATACATATACACGCACATGTTCCTTGCTTGTGTCGATATACAAAGTTAAGCTTAGTAAATAAGAGCAATTATCAGGACTAAAAATGAAACTATCAGCAAAATGAGGCAAATTCCTGAAAAATAATATATTCAGATTTTTGGCTAAATGTCTCACAGACTTTTTTTTTATTATTCAATTCTGTTTTTCTTTAACTTTCCAAATTTAAAAATATATTGAAAATAAATATTTAATAATTATATATATATATATATATATATATATATATATATATATATATATATATATATATATATATTTGTTTGTTTGTATGTCTATAGTCAAAGATGCCTACCAAAAGCCATGCAGAGTATTAAGGAACAGAAAAATTTCGTTAGAAACCAAGAAAAGAACACCGAACTGTTAGAAAATATAAGTCTTTCTAGATGGCAGTAAATCTCCTCAAAATTACGAAGAGACTTGAGACAAAAATATGGTTCTACAGAAGGATCTTAAGAATAACATGAACCGAATAAATGAGCAACGACAAGGTTTTAGAGAAAATAGAAACCAAAAGGAAACATACTTAACATCAGGAAGAGATAATTGAAATGTTTATGGCACATAATGAGGATAGAGGGCTTGGGAAATCTGAAACTCACGGGACAAATTGAAGTCAAGTTGGACAGACGAAAACAGTGCATAAGATACTTAGTGCTCTTGTGTAAATTGGTGACGGAACAAGATTTAGAAGAGATAAAAAACGACAGGAAATTTTAGAGAGCCATGATTGTCTACGTCCTGAAGGGACACGACATAAAGACGAAAAAGAACTATTTTTATTAGAACTTCAATGAATAATAACTACGAGACACTAACTTTTGTGTTGTTTCATTTTTAGGTTTACCAGCAGTTGTGACACTTGGCCCAACTTCCAAATCGACTACACTGGAAGGAATGCCATTCGGAGAGGCATGTAGGAAATTGGAGGAGAAGGGCGCCGCTGTCGTTGGTTTGAATTGCAGCCTCGGGCCGCGAATGATGGTTCCTTTCATTAAGGAAATTAGGCAAGCCTGTAAGGTAAAATATTTAATAGTTTCCTTTTTTAACCAGAATAATTTAAAATTCTCAGAACTAAAACAGGTGACGAAGTATAAAATAAACAATTTCGTATTATGATTATTAAATTTCGATTGATCTCATATATATATATATATATATATATATATATATATATATATATATATATCAAAGATACTTTGCAGGTTCCTCACACCAAAACAAGGACAAAAGTCTATATAAACATCTGTCCGCATCATCTGTGAAAAAAAATGTTCGTCATTCATTACCCTATAGAAAGATTGATATTAAATGCAAATGATACGCGGATACAGGAGCTGCCCTTGAAGTACCAGCCATGCGATACTATGCTAGGGTCATTTGGCGTGTGCTCATACTTGGATCGTCTCCGACAGCCTGTAGAATATGTTCTTCGTGATGATGCGTATGATCGGATCTCGGTCTTCCTAGATCCATAGTTTTGATACCACGCATCTTGTCTCAGCAACGCGACGATAAACAACAGGAAAGGTTGAATAACTCGACTACCTTCGGTCTGGAAACGCAGTCTAATACAGCCGTGCAAGCGTCGCGTTCATTACCATTCGCATGGCCATATGTAAAAATCATATCTGCCTGCTTACGATATGAATTTCCTGTCATTTTTAAACGGAATTCTTCTCAGTTAACTCACTCACTGCACACGTTAAACGGTGGAGACAGACTAGCCACAGACGTACACGAATGACAAATGTAACCTAGTCTTCATGGCAAAACATCACCATCTTCCGTAAACTTTCTTTAAACTTAATAACTCTAAAACGAAAGATTTGTGGACATATAGTTACATAGACTTTTGTCCTTATTTTGGTGTGAGGAACCCACCAACAATGTTTGTAAAATTATTGTTGATATACCCTTTATATATATATATATATATATATATATATATATATATATATATATATATATATATAACTTATCGGGCATTGAGTGATGGTGTTAATAAAATAGTATTCGATGTAATATAACAGAGCTATTAAGATTATCCCTCAATTATGTAATGATCAATGTTTACCCAGCACACGAAGATTGCGTTGTGTATGAGACTCTGAATCGTAGTACTGGTCTGGGAATATATATATATATATATATATATATATATATATATATATATATATATATATATATATATATATATATATATATACCCACAAAGTCATTAGACAAATATAAAAATGTATTAAAATTACCACAGAAACTGGATAGTGTTCAAATGTTTACTTAATATGAAATAAAAGGTGAAGCTTATATGCAAAGAGCTAATAAATTTGTATATAGTCAAAATGAGGTGCAGCCTCATTAGGGAATAAAGGTCCGCAGATTTTTAAATAAGAAAAGGTGGACCGTTTTCTTGGCGTTCTCGTTCCCTAGATGGACTTTTTCTGGTGGGGTTATGAGAAAGATATTGTGTACCATATTAGAGTAAAGGACTCGGATAGCCTGAAGAAAAGACTAACAGCCGCCATTGCGACTATTGATGAAGACATGTTAAAAACAAAAGTGGGTAGAAATTGAATATCCCTTAGATGCCTTCCGTGCAACAAATGAGGCCTATATAGAAATTTATTAACTATTTGTATATAAACTTCACTATTTACTCCAAATTATGTAAAGATTTCAATACGATCGCTATTTTGTTGTGGCTTCTTGTTCCCGGATGACTTTGGGTTTATTAAATGAAACGACTGTATTTATATAACTGAGAAACATCGGTGTGTAAATGTATTCCCGAGAGATTGTACGTATTTCGATCTATTTAAATTTGGCTACATTTGTAATTACTTAATTTTTTAAAAATCCTTTCATCCCCAAGCAAAGCAATAAAGCTACTAAGATACAAGGGATTACCAGTATGAAAGAATAGGAAAAAAAGAGAAACATTATTAAGGAGCGATAGCTATAAAAGAATTATCAAGACAGTACATAACGACTGAAGAGAAATCCTCAAGAGGGAAGTGCAAAAGAAGAAATTCTTAGCATAGAACTTGCCAATTCAACTGTAAATTGATAAATGCTTGAGATTCTGATTCTATCTGTGTGTTTATGAAAAACTCTTCATTTAAATAATTCCTCACACAACTACTCAATTGTGAACATTCCTTGTTCATTTAAAACTTAAAATGGTAAATCATACTTACTTTTTCTAAAATATATATTTTCTAATATCCACTCTTGCTTGATAAACAAAATAATTTCTAAAGAACCAATGGATTAATGAAGATACATTTGTATTATTTTTTATGGATATGTGTGAGTCGAACATTTTTTAAAAAGTCTTTTGAATAGAATTAGAGGTTTATCCTTTGTTTCTTGCTTAGAATTGGGTTTCCGTTTCTGTGTTTTTATTCTCTTTTCGTCCAAATAGCCCACTTTCGTCTTAGTAACATTAACGCCTTGCTCTGTGTGAATTGCTTAACAAAAAAAGCGAGGACAAAAAGGGTATTCTTTTGGCATTCATTCATTATATTTGCGTTAAAACGGCTTTGTACCTTAAAAAAATCATATAAAAAAGAATTTCTCTTGATATTTCAGGGTCCCATTGCAGCATTGCCTGTGGGCTATACTACCACCCGACAATTCCCAACCTTCCAGACCTTCAAGGACAAAACTACGGGTAAGTTCTAAAAGGATGGATTTACATAATTGATTTTTTCGGCCTTCAAAGAATTGATATGGCGAAACGGTTTCAAGTGTTAAACGTAATTACCATTTGGCAGATATTTGGGCAGATATTATCATCCTGAATTTAAAATAGAAGATACAATAAAGGCCTTATATCATAAATAATAATGAATACCTTCGGGTAATGATAATGTTCAAACAATAATGGATAAAATTCATAAATGTCTCTCTTTACATAACCCCTCATAATAATAGGCATTTGTTTGTCATACAAGTTTTTTTTTAATCCCCAAAAAATAAATTATCGAAATAAACTGGAAAGAATTTCTTTTTAATCATTTCACCCCAAGCAAAGCAATAAAGTCACAAAGACGCAAGGGGTTAGTGAGTGTGAAAGAATATGAGAAAAAAAATTGATAAGACCTTGTCACCAATCTAATGCTGCGATTTAATTCATAAAGTCTAGGTACCATGAATGAAAGTTCATCAGAACAATTACCAAAGAATAATTTATAGAAAAGACCCAGCGAAGCTACAATACCGTAGTGGGAAAGTGACTAAAACCGAAATGCCATGTCATGACCAATCATATTGCAGATTCTTCTTTGTATTTTATCAAGAATCTCTGAATCTGCACGAGCACCAGATGTTATTAAATGAGTTTAGGTGAATTCCATATCTTTTTCTTTCTTTTTTTTATAAATTTTATCATTAACCATCTTACAGTTTGACAACAGAAGATCTGCCAAAAATGGTGAAATGTTGTAAGAACCTGGACAATTATTTTTCGGTTTAAAAAATGATACTTTAATTATAATTAAGGATTAGAGGCACGACGAACTAATGGATAGAGGCTCGGATCAAGGAATCGGAGTTCGAATTCCAGTCCAGTTCATTAAATTCACTTACGTGCTGACACACCTGTGAAAAGTAAGAATCCATCTTTTATCTATAGATTTATGGGTAAATAACAGGACGGACTGAGTCCTATAGGCTTGTTTGGCGACTAGCCTAGGAGAAGGATAAACATCACTGCTACCACGGCCGCAGTACATATGTTGCCACTTAGACCCTGCGCGGTTAATAGCTAGTAATCGTGACTTTAATTAAAAGGGCAAGAAATTTACTAAGGCCTAAATAATTTTCTAAAGAAATACATTCTGTTTAATAAATAAATCGAGTTGTCTACTCAAATATGGGTATCGAGTAAAAATAACGTCTGAAGTGACAAATGTCGAATAAATAAACAAAAACCATTTTATTCTTTAGAAAATTGCTTTTTTACGTTTGAATACGAAATTGAGCAGATATTGCGTTTATAATGCGCTTATTCAACTTTGCCTGATCGACAAAAGTTCTCTGTAGCTCATTTAGTTGTCCAGGATGAGGCAGGATCGAATCCTGTCTGAAAGCACATAATAAGATTTCTCGATGTTCAAACCGGCAGACGAAAATAAACAAACAGTTAGTCAGTTATGTGCCATACGTGATACCCGCTTAAGCGATCATGTATCTTTCGATACATGACTGACGAGGCAGATTTTGCCCGCAGTAGGAAGCTATTTCTTTCTGCGGTAGACCAGTTGCCATCCAAAACTAGAGAAACCGGTCTGTCCTGCTATTCACCCATAGCCTTTTTATGAAGAGGATTCATACCTTTCCCAAGGGTATTAGCACGTAAGTGAATGTAATGGGTTCTCCGATTCTTCAATCCGAGCCGCTATCCATTACTCCACCGTTCCTCCTTAATAAACACGGTTTAATAAATAAACGAGGCTACTAAAAATAACGTTTGAAGTGATAAGGCATGTGTAATGATTGTACCCAGTGTAACAGCAAAATTGTCCAAATCGTGTGTGAGCATGAGATAATTGCCCATCGCACAAAATGTTTAATATCTAAAAACCACTAAATTAATTAAACCATCAAGTGAACGGAAAAGAGGAAATACTAGGGATGAAAACTGGATCAGGAGGTCATAACAGGAAGAGGGATCATCATTTCAACTTAGAGTTAAATAAATTCTTATTGCTAAAAGTAGAGTTCAATAGTGTTATAAAAACCTCGAAGAATTCCAGTAATATATCTTTGATATTTTCTAAGATACAACGGTTCAAAGCTTAATCTAACAATTGGACAATTTTACTGTTACACGATTTGAAAAATTTTGATGTTACCCCCGATAGAAAGGATTCGATTAAAAAGAAATAAGTAAACATTTTAAATTCACTGACCGAGCAGCCAGTGCTACTGTCGTTTGAACTTTATTTGATCTTTCTATTAAAAAGTTTTCAGGAAAATGAGTTACTCAAGTTCAGTAACTATTATCGCTCTTTCCACTACTAATAGCAGCTTTGCTTCCTCTTCTTTTGTTTGAAGTAGTGTGGAACGTCTTCATGTTGATCGTGTCACCCTTGGCTATCCATTTTAGTTTGTGCTGCCGTTGTAAGTCCCCAAGAGATGAAGTTTTCCTTTATTTGTTATATATTGAAAGTCCTGTTATCGTTGAAAATGGAACAGAAGTAAACGCTTCTATTTCCTTTATATGTTGGATAAGATAATATTTCACCTGTTTATCGAAAGCATAACCACATGTTATCATGGACTGTATGACGAAAGAGGAGCTCGTGACGGCCATTATAGACGTGTGGTACCGTGACCCCAAAATCAATGAGAATTTCTCCAAATTAGTGGACTCCATGCCAAATCGCATCAAAAAGCTTCTAAAAAATAAAAGCGGACCTTTAGCAAGATTGTAAGTTTAATTCCTTTATGTGTTTACAACTTATCGCCGTTCCGTATCTTTGATTCAACAAAATGTCACTATTTGGGAATTTAATTATTTCCATTTTCTCATGTAGACACAGAAAACATGGTTCATTTAAAGACCTTGATGTTCTAGCTAGTTTTAGAAATTTTGATTTAACTTTGGGTGTTTTATTTTCGTTTTACAATTTTCAAAAATATTTAGAAAGTGAAGTCATGTTTCGTTTAACTGCGTTATTAAAGGATTAGAGATGGTTATAGAAATGTCTTTCAAATTCATTCATTGTACTTCCAATGTAAAAACGTTCGGAAGTCCTGGGATTTTCAATTGACGTAATAGAACACCTATATACTAGGGATTTTGTTAAACACTTGTTGGATAACGGTCATTGGTTGCGATTTTTACAATTACATAGGTTATTTATAGGAGACACATTAAGATCAGCATTAGTATTACCGTCATTATTGTTATAGTTTCAACATTTTAGTGTTATGTGATTTAATTATTTTCTCTAAAATATTAAGACAATTTAACTATGTTTTAGAGTGTTTCGATTGAAAATGTTCCTTAATGAATTCTTTTTAGGAAAATGTTTATCAATTAATTTTAAAAATTTAAGTAATTGCATGGAGGCGTATACCATATGATCTTCCTGTTTCTGTTTCTCTTATGTGAACAATCATGATTTTCCACAAATTCAATTTCAGAAGATTTAAATCCACTGTCCGTATGAATTTTATCACAGATTGCTTTATGTTTTTCAAATATTTCTTTGCTAGAAGAGTGCTGATTAATTCACCGTTCTACGGATGACGAAATATGTTGAATTATAGCCGGTAGGTAGTTGAAACTAGGATGGATATACATTGGGTTAGCATTATTTTTCATGTAAGGTTGGAAATTATTCGTAACCAAATTTAATGTAACATCTAAGAAATCGACTTGTTTAATATTAGCATTGATAACTACACTGAAACTAAAGGATTTAAAAACACTGTAGTAAGCTTATCAACTAGTATATATATTTACCATCATGAGCATATCGTCTCCCCTACTATTCAAATTAATCTCTTCAAATGCTTTGAGGTTGTACAAGAGAAACAGTCAAACTAAGTCTGAAGACTCTGCAGAATCCAAAGATCCCATAGATATATCAAAATTATCGGCTGAATTTTTAATCCACTGTTCGTTTCCGTGTATTAATACTGATTTTCTGCAGTTGAAAATAATGCTTATTTCGTCCTTTAAAATGTCCGAATAAACTTCGGCGAATTCTAATGCAAAATTGAAAAGTTCCCAAGAAATAGATGGATCGATAAACCCACAATATCAATATGAAAGTAAAATTATTTTTATTTTCCAAGTTTTTAAACCAGTTGATCACTTCAGATTTACCTTTACACAATATAAGGTTAAGCTGTTTTTTTATTTTTATTTGAAGTTGACATGTTGTAGATCACTTTATTTATTTTTCCGATCTTGGATCTGGTGGGATTAATAATTCTAGTTGGTAATTTCCGTTGGAATTTATTTTTGTGATCATTTAATAACACGTAAGCGGGATGAGTTTTCGAACGTTATCACTGATTTTCAACTTAACGTGATTTGGTTAGGTGAAGAGTTGATAGTATCAATATAATTAAAGCTGTCAGTATTAACTTTTTGTAATTATTCATTAATTTTTTTCTTTTCTTTATGAATATTTATTGCTCTACTTTTGTATTGAGTCCTTTTTTAAATTAATGATTTGAATGTTAAATTTTTATTCTTTGTTCATTTACATTTGTGTATATATATATATATATATATATATATATATATATATATATATATATATAAAGTTTAAACGTTATAATTAGTGGTTACTCGTAAAGTTTTATATATTTACTAGCAGCATGGCCCGGCGGTGTCCGTGCTTGATTCAAAAATCGTACGACTTATACAGAAATTTTTTTGCATGAAAAGGAAAAATGGAATGGAGTTTGCGTATCACTGGCTGAGGACTTCAGTGTAGACCACATTTTTAGCTTTTTGCGAGGGTGAATAAAGGAACACATCCTCACGCCTGCCGACTCGGGAGCAAGCTACGTAAAGTTGGCCATCTGAGAAGCACTGCTCCTCTCAGTGTACACCAATGACAGACAGCGTTTGTCCTTGGGCCTTCAAACCCTTCAAATGGCCCCTTCACATGGTGACTCCCAATGGCCTCGTCATAAATCCGGTCAGTTTTAGCTAAAAATCGACATGCGGTTCAGGTGCAATCTGGGCGTATCGGTTTTTGGATTTTATCGATTTTCCGCGCTGTTTAGGGGTCCGTGGTCATGAAACTTCTGGACAACACTTCTAATGGTAGACTTTAAGAGGGTGTCAAATTTGGTTGTAATGCGATCATTTCTTCTGTAAGCAGATTTTTTCGATTATCGATTTTTTTCGGAATCTGAGTCCGAACTAAAAAATCGGGCTCCGTCATATCCTTAAGGCAGCCAAACCTATGGTGAAAACCGCATCGAAATCGGATGAGAAATGCGGCCTGGGGGAGGTAACAACGCCCACGACAAACAGGCAACATGAGAAATATAGATAGTAAAAATATATATATATATATATATATATATATATATATATATATATATATATATATATATATATTTCAACTACCGACCTGAAATTTCGAGACATCTTTTGAAATATATTTCAGAAAATTGATAAATATACTGTTTAATGTATAAATGGGATATTTACTCAAATACCATTAGTCAATAATAATAACGTTTAAAGTTATATACATCTGTCGGATCAATATCATGCTTGATTACGTTTACGCATAAAACAGAGTGGACTGCCGCCGCAGGCTATCACCTCAATGTCCACTGATATATATATATATATATATATATATATATATATATATATATCAGTGGACATTGAGGTCAAAATATATATATATATATATATATATATATATATATAATAGAAGAGAGAGGGGGGGAGAGTGAGAAAGAAGTCATATTTATAATCCAGTGTTCTTTAGCATTTATTTTAAAAACAGTGCTCAATAGAGCATAATACTATAATTATTTTTTTTTAAATATGTATTCATCGCGACACAGAAATTACCATGTTTCGAAACCAAAACCTAAATCTTAAATTAAACTTTAAATTTGAATTTCAGATCCATTTTCAAGTAGTTATTCAGCATCACTTGAAAATGGAACTGAACTTCAAATTTTACGTTTAATTGAAGATTTAGGCTTTTTTTTCAAAACATGGTATTTTTTATGTTGCGATGAATACATGCTTTTAAAAATATCGGTGTTTGATGAATTGAAGTAAGCTTTTTAATTTATGATTAGTAAATATAGTTTTCATTTAATAATATCATCTATGCAATTCTTCTGTATCTGTCTATATTTCTGCGATGCGGTATTATGTACACTATTTACATTATTCGGACTATTGTCCCTATCTTTGTTGCCATACTTATTACAACGTTTCGGCCGCTGTACGCTACGGCCTTCTTCAGTTGCTTGGAATGTCGAACTAAACCATTTATTTCGCTCGCTGAGTAATATATATATATATATATATATTCGATGCTTAACATCCTTTTATCAGCGTTGATAGACTAGCTTTCTGGCAAATACTCTACAATGAGAAACTTGACTTTCACACCTGAGATCATTTGATGTTAACCTTTTGTTTTATTCTCTATTTTCAGGTAAATACTGTTTTCCTAACGACTTGGCTCAGTTCCAGTGTAGTCTGAATGAGATTGAATATTTTGCTCAGTCTTGCAAGGATATTGGCGTCCAGTATGTTGGCCTCTGTTGTGGGAACAATGCCGAATTCTTCCGACATTTAGTGGAAACTCTCGGCAAATCCGCACCGGCTCTTCGGTATAAAACTGACATGTCGAACCATTTCCTCTTCGGTAATCTGCCTATGAGCAGTTACAACGAGATGCATAGAAAGGCATTTCTTAATGTGGATGTTTAAAATAAAAAGCGTTGAAAATCTCCATTGAATTTAAGTAAGGGATGAAGAAATACAATGCTAATTGTTATCTTCTGTCTTCCTAATTATTATTCTTTTATCGTCCTCGCTGCTTAATAGTAGTTTTTCTCATATTCTCTAACATTCAGTAACCCCTTGCGTCCTAGTCGATTTATTGCCTTGCTTGAGATGAAAGGATTAAACAAAGATAAAAGGGAAATAAATGCAGTGATGACCATTACGTTTTTATCAAGATGTCTTCAAAAATAAAACTTTGATTTCAAATAAAAAGTTATTCATTCTTTTCTTTGGTTGATTTTTGCTGCTTTGAAACGAAAAAAAAAAAACATTTAAATGAAATACCGGTATATTGATTGATTCGTTTTCTAAGGCTTATCTACCCTTTGCAGGTTATTTAAAGCTAGAAAAATTTTTAGCTTGTAAGATTTGTTTTTTTTTTAGGTAATAATGGTTTAGTGATACCAGTCTTACTCATTAACCTATAGCTGGGGGAGAAGAGGTAGATTCCTACTTAATCAGAATTTGATTAAAAAAAAAACTAGAAATTGTTGGAATAAAAATTGGGGATCAATTCTATATACAATTATTATATAAATTGATCCCTCACTTTGTGCCTACGAAAGTTTGTAAAAATTTATATTAAAAAAAAATATAAATAAATCTAAAAATAACTTTGTCAGATGTATTTGTGCGCAAGTGAATATAACGAACCTAGCAGGAACTGGAACTACTTGGCTCTTCTATTAACAATTCACAGTCATTACCCATTACACCATCGGTACATCCAAGTTTACAGCAAATGGTATTACCGAGAGGTCAACCATCTACGTACTAACCAGGCTCGATGTTAATCGTACGGGAATCGCTGTTTCATCGTCGTGTCACTGTAAGCCTTCGTAACTCAATGAATAAGAATATTACCCATCAAAAACTAACAATCTCGCTACTTGCCAATCTGATGACATATATACTGACTTTTTAGAATGTTCGAACGACCTTGGCAGCAAATAATCAAATTTCATGAAGACAGACATATATTTTATATCTGAATTTTATCCAGTTTGGAAAGATGGTTCTCGTCATGGGAACGGTAAATATATTCACCGTACACATTCCTATGTAAGTCGAGAATTTGAAACTAAATATTCAGGCCAAAACCTTTCAATATACGAGGAAAACACTAAAATATATACGAAAATATTAACTATATTGAAATGCATATTTGCCAGTGATTTTAGCAAGCAAGGGAGGACATTAGAAAATAAATATTATATATATATATATATATATATATATATATATATATATATATATATATATATATATATATATATACCCCATATCTAGGAAGTCATTTATTAAACAAGTAGATGTGGATCACAGAACTGGAGCTGCACATGGGACATTTGGAAATTGAACTCGAATATAAAGAAACTCAACTCATCTGTCCGATTAATAATTCCAAAACTCACACATCCAAGCTTACAGCACCTGGTATTCCCAAACACTGCCATGTTGGATAAGAAAGAAGAAAATTGAATTTTATAAACATGCTCAGGTTTATTTAATCTCTAATCCATAAACATTTATTAATTCAAACGTTATTTTTAGTGAATAGCCGTCTTTTAAAATAGACGCCATGTTTTTTTTATTTTAAACGGACGTCTATTTCAAACACGGGTATCCACTAAAATAACACTTGAAGTAACAAAAATGTCAGATTAAAAATAAATAATTAATTCTTTAGATAGTGCATTGTTTACGTTTTAAGTACGAAACTGAGCAAACATGTGCCTTCGAAAAAAATATGATTGATGGGTTATGCATTCCGTAAAAAAGCTGTGATCGTGCAGGTTAAAACACGCCGAACAAAACTGTGTTTTCTCTTACAATGTGGAACGCCGTTTTTAACCCAGCCGGGGAGTAGATTTTCTATATCATGATTTATCGAGTTAGCAGGCTGATAAATATTTCAGCACCCTTTCGTAGATAGATAGATAGATAGATAGATATGTGTGTCTCTTCTTTGTTGGGCCGAAAATATTTCAGGACTCCTAAGTAGGTAGAAAGAAAGAAAGAAAGAAAGAAAGAAAGAAAGAAAGAAAGAGTGTGTGTGTGCGTTGTGCGTGTACCTTCTTTGTTGGGGTGAACAGCAGTTCCTTAAAGGTAAGTTGAAAGAAAGAAAGAAAGAAAGAAAGAAAGAAAGAAAGAAAAGGATGAGATAGATAGATAGATAGATAGATAGATAGATAGATTCTAAGAAGATGCGGATAAAATCCCAGTCGGATATTGAGAATATTAAGTTATCTCCAACTGATACACACAAAAATGAGTTCAACCACTGAATGGTGTCAAATGAATCACAAGGACCAGTGCCAAAGACTTGCTACATCGGGCGCTGCTACATAAACACTCCAGCTATGGAAGCTCTGATAGGTTTCTCTCAATTAGCAAATCCTCAGTCACGGGTCGTGAAGGTCGTTAATTGCCAGACAAGTTTTCTTGGAAGATCTTACGATCAGTGACGACGTTGCATAGGCTTCTCTCTTCGATCTTTTACCCTTTTTTTACTGCATATTAATGAGCAGCCTAAGAGCATGCTCTGATCACTAGTGAGTATCTATGTGGATGATACCAGAGTTTAATGTCATACCTCAAAAAATCTGAAATATCAGAGCCTAGAAGTCCAGCTCTTCTCAGACCCAGTCCACGTGGCTCAATGTTGTCGGGGTGGGGGTTAAGATTGGCTTTGAAAATTCAATATGAATAAAACCAAACTAGCAAAGTTCAACCATCATCGAGCAGAACCTAACCTTAATGGCTGGGTCTTCTCTCAAGAGGGGTCCTTGCCTGGAATATCTATAGGGACTCAAGCTTACTCCAGTCCTCAAGGGAAACTCATATATCCGATCTAATGCTAAAGCTGCTGGGAAAATCTTTGGTTCATTTCCCAGTAAGTATCTGACTCCACCTGCTATACTACATCTTTACAAGTGCCAAACCAGACCAAAAATGGAATATTGATGCCATATCTGGCCTGGAGTTGCCGAGTTCTCATTTGCCTGTCTTGACATAGTTCAAAATCGTCCACGTAGCCTGTGAGTGATAAATCTTCCACCCTACGAAATGTAGTGAGCCTCTCACTTGCTCTATCGCTATTTGCATGATATGTGTTCTGACAAGCTACATTCCTTAGTCCCACCAACCTTGACCTTTACAACTGGGACCTGCCCTGCTACATACACAAGGAGGAAACATCCAGATCCCCTTCGTATTTCAAAAGTAAAAAGTAAGTTCCTTTCGGACATCTGCTTTGTAGAACAGACTCCCGACAGGGTGTTTTTTCAATCACTACAATGCTGACCTCTTCAAGTGTAGGGTTAACCGTTATATTTTCGGCATAACCCCATGAAATGAACTTCTCTTACGCTCACACAACCCTACACATTAACCCTCTTCCTTGAGTGACTCTTGGTCCTTGTATTTTTTTAAATTAGTATATATATATATATATATATATATATATATAAGTGTGTCTGTGTGTGTAGATAGAGAGAGGGAAAGACAAAAAAAGTTCCTAAGTATACGTTTTCTTCAAAATGCAGCACATCTTGTAAAACTGTGTACATGTTGAGGCGTTTCGAAATGCACAGGAAGTTGTGTCGGTGTACAGTCATAGAGTGAGCATCCGTTCCCTATGAACTCTCTCTCCCCACTCTCTCTCTCACTCTCTTTCTCTCTCTATCACTCTCTCTGCCACTCTTCCACTCTCTCTCACCTGTTTCTCTCTCACTCTCTTTGTATACGTGTTTGTGCAGGGATTATGCACCTCCTCTCTCTCTCTCTCTCTCTCTCTATATATATATATATATATATATATATATATATATATATATATTATGCGCCTCCTATACATATATATGTTATATATGTTTGCACGAACGCATATATTGTAAGAGTGAGTGTACGCTTGTATAAATGTACGTATACCCGCTCGGCCCGGTGGCTAGGATCAAAGTGTAGTATCTGCGCTTTGTGAGCTGCCGGGTCGGGTGTCTGTCGAACTCTCTGCTTGCAGAAAGGAACCCGGACGAAGCTCCGCTGAAGGGTAGGGTTTCGTTGGGGGAGGTTGACGGAACTGGCCCGCCTCGGCGGGTTTGGATGGTTATTTATTTTTGGCTGGGCCTACGGGCTCAGAGATACCCACATTAAAAAGGCCTTGTGCCACATTCGATCCCCGTGGGTGGATTGATAAATACCATAAATGTATGTCTATGTATAGGATAATTATGATAGATATGAGCATCAATTGTACATTTGTAAGTGTATATTTGAAAATGTACTGATCTCCGTGCATTAAAGTTCATCTTAGTCTGTTCATATCTATCTCTATCTCGTACAAATATTGAATGTATGACCATGTATGCCGCGTACACAATCATCCTCACTCATTTCGTATTCCATCAGCAAGAAGTAAGTTTTCATTCGAACAGCTTCTTGCCAAGAACTGCTGCTTTATGGAAAAAACTCCCGAGAGGAGGTTTTCCCAATCTCTACAATCTTAACAGATTCAAGATTATGGATAACCGTTATCTTTCCTGCTTAGTCACATGGACTTTACTGCTTTCCCTTTCTTGCGCTCATAGAACACCACAGCTCTCTACCTTGAATAGTTAATGGACTTTATATTGAGTGAACGATAGACGAACAGACAGACAGACATGGTAAATTTTTTCATAGTCATATTCTATAATCTTTTTCATTGTATTTCGTTCCTATGCGATTTTTATTGTACAATTTCTATTGGAATGTTGGGCGTGCGTGCGTCTGTGTCCGTGTGTGTGTGCGTGTGTGTGTGGCAAAATAACAGTCTTTTATTTATTAAATTTTATTTAACAACGAGCAGCGTAAAAGTTACCATCGTAGAAAGTGGAATTGGCTTGCCGGGCTCAAATTGATTTCGTCCAATTCACACTAATGCC